AAGCACATTGACATTCAGTTTTGCAAGGCCTGGTATGAAAAAATCAGTATCTATGTTTTAAAATCTATTTGTTGTTTTCAAAATAAATAAAATCACCAGTTCTTTTTGAAGATTTTGAAGAACTTGTGTTTCAGAGGTATTTTGAGAATTTGTAATTACTGCTATTTTCAAAGTGTTTTGAAGTCAACTCTTTATTATTTACCTGGTAAAATGTTCAATAAAAAATCACGTAGTGTCATTCACAGCTTCTCAGAAAGGAAAAAAAATCACGTAGGTTGAACTTTGACATTTGTACAGTACTTCCAGTTGAATAAGGAAGGTGTTTGATGAATATCCTGGCAGTTAAGATCCAACAAAAATGATTTTGCTGGTCTAGGAAGAACTCAGGAGGAGTAAAGAAATAGTAAAATTTCCTTTCCACCTGTCTTTCTGTGACCTTTTTGTTTTTGTTTTTATTTTAATTATCAGAAGAGATCATGCTTTCAGACTAAATGTTAGGATTGTCTTTTTTCCTTATGAACCCCTGGAGGTGAGAGAGGAGAATTGGAGAGGGAAGGAAAGAGGCAGAGAAATTAGGTATTAGAAGTACAAAGCAGTTAGAGTTAGATGTAGTATCAAAACATTGTAAAATGAGGAGATTCCATTTTAATTGTGAATCTTGAGCACCACTGTTAAGGAAAGTAGAGGTCAATGATCACATCCAAAAGCAAGCAAAGTCTCAACGTAAGTAGATATGCCCTATTTAGAAATCTCTTTATATATGATATTGACATCCTCTTGCGTGACATCTTTGCAGCTCTTCGATTGGTCCGGGAGGTAGCTTCTTTGGAATTGCGGACACATTGGGAAGTACAGAATTTATAGTAGAAAGAGATCTGGCTTAAGAATTAGAAAATATGTATTTTAGTTTTGACTTTACTAGATCTCTCATGCCTGTCTTTTACCTTTTTGATGCTCTAATTTTCTGTCGTAAAAAGAGGATGTCATATAGGTTCACCAAAAGTTTATTGTGGAAATCAAATACCTAACACGTAGGGTTATTGAAAAGATCAGGAGAATTAAAAGATATAGAAACACTGTAAAGTGCTATAAGACTATTAGACATTATTATAATTACAGTGACCTATTTTCCAAATCCAAATTGGACCACATGGTTTGAGAGATTATTTTTGTGTCACTTCCAAGGTCAAGAAGCAGTCTGCAAAATGTAGTTCAAATGCCAAAATACTGAAATCTCTGGCACATTTTGATGATTTATGGGAGCAATGATAAAATATTTGAAATAGTGACTCAGTAAAATTCATGAGGTATGATCACTGTAATTATGAAATTTCTTTGCAAAAGGTATTTTTTTCTTTTATTTCTTGTATAAGTAGAAGTTCTTTGATTTTACAGAATCCTAAAACTGGGAGGGACTCTTAACAAAAGAGACTCTACTTCATTTCCTGCCCTAGGTCTCCAGGAGAAATGCTGGGTAAAGATTTTGGGGGAGGCAGATTTCATAGCCTGCCTTAGTTCAGTGGCTTGTTTTATTACTGAACATCCTTATCTCAAAAATCTCTCTGCATTTTAACTACTATTACCTTTATTATTTTTCACATATATATGTATATATAAAAGAAACTTAGGAAGTGAATAACTTTTTAAATAGGAAATTCCTTTTTAAGGGATAATAATACAAAAAAAAATGCTGAAAAGTAACTGTTGTAATTCTCTGCTAGAAAGACTTGAAAATCTTTATAGGTCATAAACATTAAATTCATGTCTCAGAATATATTATGTTTCTTCAGGCACAGTAGCTCACACCTGTAATCCCAGCACTTTGGGAGGCTGAAGCAGGTGGATCACTTGAGGTCAGGAGTTTGAGACCAGCCTGGCCAACATGGTGAACCCTGTCTCTACAAAAATAGAAAAATTAGCTGGGCATGGTGGCTCACGCCTGTACTCCCACCTACTTGGGAGGCTGAGGCACTTGAGCCCAGGAGGTGGAGGTTGCAGTGAACCAGGATTGTGCCACTGCACTCCAGTTTGGCCCACAGAGTGAGACCCTGTCTAAAAAAAAAAAAAAAAGGAAAAGGAAAAAGAATATGTTTCTTGGAGGATAATGTTAAAAATACATTTTATTTACTTTGGTTTAGCACCATAATGAACTATGACATCTAGCATCAAACTTCACCTTGAAATTTAAAATTAAAAATTTTTGATTCCTTGGAGTCCTTTGACTTCTTCATACAATAGTGTATACAACAGAAGTAATAGTCATTTCTTGTAACCGTACTACAAGAAACTTTGGTGATCATTTTCTCTTTCATCTTGCCCCTTTCGTGAAAGCTTTGAGATTTATGGCTTGAAGTTATATAAACCTTTGTTTTCTGCTTTTGTAGCAGTATATCAAAACATTAAGGTGTTTATTTTTATTTTCCATGACAAGAAAGGGAATGTTTTAGAGTTTATTTACCCTGACATTTATAGTAACTTGAAAATCATGGAATAGATCAAGTTCATATTGATTGTTCCATGAAGCCTCTGACTTTTCAGCACAAACCATAAACTAAACTGATGCAGTTTTGATGCTCAAATAATGTGAATTTGGTGTTAATATTCCAGCTGAGGTTTCAATTTTTACCCAAATGTCTAAAACTTCTGGATCCCATCCCTGGAACTGGTTCTGAAAGGCTGAATGGCTTTGCAGCTAGACTAAAACAAATCTATATCCTTGGCTAGAGGATTGCTCCATGAATTAAGCATTCACAGCCTTTGTGTGACTTCAGAGGCTAGACAGAAACAGGAGAAAGTGGCACCCATAGATGACCGGTCTATAAAACTGGATATAGTCACTAGGGTATATGCAAAAGATATTCCGTCTTGGCACAGTTTTCTTAGAGATTGGGGCAAGTGGCACACTGACCAATCGGATGGCTTGCATTTGGCTTTTAATGCTGTTGGGAATTGGTTTTTTGATGAAAAGTATAAGCCTCATCCTTGGAGATTTCTGCTGCCAGACCATTGATAGAGGACCTCTATTTGTGTGCCTAGGGATTGTCATTCTCAAGCCAGGCTCTCATCTCAGTGAAAGAAATTAGGTGTTGGGGAGACTGACGCCTCATTAAAGAGATCTCTTTTGATTTAGTGGGGCAGCGTTCAACCCAGTCCTCCTCAGTGATATTCCTAAAGTTGCTGAACTTATTATTCATATTGATCATATTTTTGTGCATTCATGAAAAGTATGTCTATTTAATGTGGACACGACCAGCCATCGGAGAGAATAAATGCCTCACTAAAGCTTGATATGACTGACTGTTGGCCTTGTGAATGGTAACACTGAATCAATCTGGCTAGTTTTTCTTAATGGTTAATACACTGTACCATCACAGATTGACCCAGTTGGAGTTCAGAGCTTAAGTGGGTACTAAAGTAAAAAACCTAGCATTCTGTGGGTAGTTTGAAATGCCAGGTTTGTTTTTGTGGAGTCAGTAGTGTAATGTCTTTTATTTTTTATGCAACCCCTGCTGAAATTTAAAGTCATGAAATTCAAGAAAACATGGAACTCACACGTTGAGACTGTGCACACTCTGGCTTAGCCTTGGTGCTTTGTTTCAGGTATATAAATTATACATCGCAGTGTAATTCAGAAATGACAGCTTCTCAGAAGGATAATAAAAGATTCTTTGAGCCACAAAGAAGGTTAGAATATATAGTTTTTCTAGCTCAGCTTAGGAAGCTCATGGTTCCCTGCCAGATAGGAATGTTTAAGGCACACACAAGCATTAAGGTCATTAACACACAGAGTCTTACATCTTGTTTCCAGATATAGCAATTGATAAGGTACTAAGATATAGTCACTTTAATGTAAGATATTAAATCTGTCCAATTATTATTTTCAAAGTATGATATCCATAACAACAGCAACAGTGATATTATCTTACATTTATGTATTGATTTATAGTTTATAAAATGTTTTCTTACAGTATCCCAAATCTGGACTGGCTAGTAACTTTAAAGTTATTTGGTACTTTTATGTTACTTGTCAGAAGACAATCTTAGTGACCTTTGATTTTATGGAGAAAGAACCTGTCACTAATGAAATTTATAAAGCAACTTATGCATTGATTTTTTAAAAAAAATTTTTTTTGAGATGGAGCCTTGCTCTGTTGCCCAGGCTAGAGTGCAGTGGTGTGATCTCAGCTCACTGCAACCTCTGCCTCCCAGGTTCAAGCGATTCTCCTGCCTCAGCCTCCCGAGTAGCTGGGATTAGAAGTGTGTGCCACCAGGGCATTTTTTTGGTAGACATGGGGTTTCACCATATTGCCCAGGCTGGTCTTGAACTCCTCATCTCAAGTGATCTGTCCACCTCAGCCTTCCAAAGTGCTGGGATTACAGGCGTGAGCCACTGTGCCTGGCCTGATTTTTGAAAAAAACTCTTGCAGAAGGAAAAAAATAAAAAAGAAAGACCCTTGTAACCTATTGTAACCTAGCTTTCTGTATGGTACTGTTAACAATTGTGAAATTTTTCTTTGTTGAAATTCGGCTTTATCTGCGATAAGAGTTATGTTAAGAAAACAACACCTAAATCAGAAAGCAATTTTAATTTAAATTGATCTGAACCACAAAAGGTTGTTTTCATTTTCAAAATCTTTTCTTAGCTGTTTTTGTGATTCACCTTTCAATATTTTTGTATTGATGTTAGATATAGACTTTATAGACTAATAAGCTAAAATATGACTTCCTATTCACAGGCAAAACTAACAAATGTAGTACCTTATTATCTTATTATCTTTAAATTACAAATATCTGAAGCCCTGTCATAATTGAATGCATCATCCTAAGATTTAAAAACATTATCGTTTTTGAACATTATTTGAAAAATGAACACCACACTAGGGGAAGTGAGGCAGGGCAGCAAATAAATGGGGTAGGACAAGCAGAATTCAATTTATGCATTCTTTTCAAGTAGTTATTGATTATAGAAATAAGTAGTACTACCTATGCTTCTCTTTCAGAACTTTGCAGAAAACACCATGAATGAACTCCTTGGCTGGTATGGCTATGATAAGGTTGAATTAAAAGATGGTGAAGATATTGAATTCAGGAGCTACCCTACAGATGGGGAGAGCCGGCAGCACATTTCTGTTCTCAAAGGTAATGACATTTAATGTCCTTTTGTTCATGCAAAGAAGGATTAACTATCTCAACCTGCCAGAATTGAGTTGCTTTGGGACTCATTTTGTTGATTATGCCAATGGTTGATTTAAACATACATCCCCAATAGTGCTTTCCCATAAGCAGAATTCTGCAGAAATATAAAAGAACAACATAAAACAAAAATAGACACAACTTAATCTCCTCCCAGCTATGGGAGAACTAGATAGGGACTAGCGACCTAAGTGCCATGGTCCTGCATACAGATTTAAAGAAAGGGACAATGTTTGCTAACTAGAGTTTCCTGATGCCTTTGATAGATATCAGTTGTTGGGGACTGGGGCTTCTGTTAAGTGAAATGTTAGGTTTAGATCTTCAGACTGCTAGAGAGATTCACTGTTAGTTTGGTAATCCTCCTTCCTTTTTATTTTTTCAGTGGGAAATCTAAATGGTAGTACTATTTTTGTTTTGCTTGACGTTTTCATTCTTTCCCTGCCCCCACACACTTGAATAGGGTAAAAAGAGGAGTAAGAGAGTGGTAGATGATTAGAGCCTATATTACTCTTTAAGAATTTTTTAATCAAAGCCCAGCTAAAGAGTGAAAATTACAGAGCCTTGGCAGAGCTGAATTAACACCGATTCTACCAGTGGGTAGCAGTGCCAGATATCTCATGGGGGAAGTCTGTATGAATACTGAATTTATGAACCTAAATTAGGAATGAGAGCTTGCTTGTCAAAGAAGAGAAGTATGTGAAGAAGCAACCCATTTAAGGAACTTTAATAAAATGTGGGTAAAACAAATTGTACATCATCACTGGCAATTTGATCAATATTTGCATTGCATTCAAAATCTGTTGGCATAAACTACCTGTTCAAACACTTTATTTTCAGTCTTTAAGATAGAGCTTTCCCTTCATATATACCAAGCAAGGAAATGTAATTGAGCTGTCCTGCAGGCAAGTGGAATTGAGTGTACATGACAAATTTTATGTTAAGCTTACTATAAAATTGTACACATCATGCTACGGAGATAGTATCATCAATTTCACTGTAAATGAAAAATGCACGTCATGAGTTTGTATTCTATAAACTAATAGCTCATATAATACTTGGCCTAGGTAATAATCTTTGCTTCTGGGGAACATACAGCATGCCAGGATATGCTATAGAAGGAAAAAGTTATTTACCATGGTTGAGGTTTTTGTTCATTTGTTTTTTTTAAGTGATTCACATGCAAGGATACGATGTACAAAGCTCATATCATTGTAAGTTTTACAAATTTTTATTTTTGTTATTTTTTAATGGGTATTATCCATACCTTGTGAAGCATCAGTTTTCTTCCCTGCTTCTTTCTCATTGGTTCATGTGATTATATTATGATACAAGTTTATAATACAGTGGGACCTAGTTACAATGCTGGAGGGCATGTTTTAGGCTTTCCCCTGGTAGCCAGAGAGCTATGTTTGCTGTATATCATGTTGTACATGGAAAAAAAGGTTAATTGCCTCTTAATTTTCTTCTCTTTCTTTCTTTTTTTTTTTTTGGAGACAGAATCTTGCTCTGTCACCTAAGCTGGAGTGCAGTGGCGTGATCTCAATTCACTGCAACCTCCGCCTCCTGGGTTCAAGCGATTCTTGTGCCTCAACCTCCCAAGTAGCTGGCATTACAGGGGTGTGCCACTATGCCTGGCTGATTTTTGTATTTTTAGTAGAGACGGGGGTCTTACCATGTTGGCCAGGCTGGTTTCAAACTCCTGGCCTTGAGTGGTTTGCCTGCCTTGGCCTCCTGAAGTACTGGGATTACAGGCCTGAGCCATAGTGCCTGGCCACTTCTCAGTTTTGTTTTGTTTTGTTTTTGTTTTTTGAGATGGAGTCTCACTCTCTCTGGAGTGCAGTAGCATGATCTCAGCTCACTGCAACCTCCGCCTCCCAGATTCAAGTGATTCTCTTACCTTAGCCTCCCGAATAGCTGGGACTACAGGCACACATCACCATGCCTGGCTAATTTTTTGTATTTTTAGTAGAGACGGGGTTTCACCATGTTGGCCAGGCTGATTTTGAACTCCTGACCTCAGGCGATCCATCCTCCTTGGCCTCCCAAAGTACTGGGATTACAGGCGTGAGCCACCTCGCCCAGCCACCACTTCTCAATTTTCTATGGAATTTTACAGTGCTAAAATTTATCACCATGATTCAACTGGAATATTAGCTATCATAGTGGAACAAATTATAAAGGAACCCGTTGGAAATTTGTGGTAACCAGACTAAAAAGTTCCTGGATGAACTGGAGTTCTAGTACATTGTTTAAAGATTTGCAAGAAAAAATTTCTTTGGTTCATGGCCATTTTACTTGAGAAAATTAGGAAAAATTTAAGTCGACTGCATTACGTTCTTTGGTCATGTTGAATATGATTTTTTTCTTTTGCAGAAAATTCTTTGCCAAAACCAAAATTACCCGAGGACAGTGTTATTTCACCATACAATATAAGCACAGGCTATTCAGGGCTTGCCACTGGAAATGGACTCAGTGACTCACCTGCAGGGTCAAAGGATCATGGCAATGTGCCCATTATTGTACCTTTAATTCCACCACCTTTCATAAAGCCACCAGCAGGTAAGTCACTACTGGTGTTTTCAGTGATAGCAATTCATAGAAAGTTGTTTTAACTATCTTATGAATAATTATTAAATGCTCAAGTTAACTTTGGTAGAGGCTGTCTTAGGGACCTTATAGGTAAGAAATGTTGATACAGGCATTACTTAGAGTATTATTGTCATATTAGGAAAATTTCCTTACCTACTACTACTTAGGCTATAAACTTTCAACTGACAATAAACCTTTTCTACCACTGACTACAAAACAATGTTATTTTCCTTCTCTGAAGTCATCTGTTTAAAATGAGAAAAAAACATAAAATGGTTTTTAAAAATAAGATATAGACAATGACTGTTTAGTAAGAAAAAAGTAACCATGGTTGGCCTGTAATCCCTGCACTTTGGGAGGCCAAGGTGGGCAGATCACCTGAGATCAGGAGTTTGAGACCAGCCTGGCCAACATGATGAAACCCTGTCTCTACTAAAAATACAAAAAATTAGTATTTTGGGATTAGCTAGTAATCCCAGCTACTCCGGAGGCCGAGGCGGAAGGATCGCTTGAACCTGGGAGGCAGAGGTTGCCGTGGGCCGAGATCGCGCCACTGCACTCCAACCTGGGCAACAAGAGCACAACTCCGTCTCAACAAAAAGAAAAAGTAACCACGGTTGAACTGGGTGGTGCATAAGGAGGGCCGCCTCTCCTCTGGGGTCTCCTGAGGGGAGGGATAGTTTTATAAAAGGGCATGTGGCAGGCTTGTTCTTCTACATGCCTTCCTCGAAATCTACTAGAGAAACCACCTAGATTAAGCTTGTCCAACCTGTGGCCCAACACAAATTTGTAAACTTTCTTAAAACATTACAAGTTTTTTTTTGAGATTTAATTTTTTTTTTTTTTTCCGAGACGGAGTTTCACTCTTCTCACCCAGGCTGGAGTGCAGTGGCGCTATCTTGGCTCACTGCAACCTCTGCCTCCAGAGTTCAAGTGATTCTCCTTCCTCAGCCTCTCAAGTAGCTGGGATTACAGCCACTCACCACTGTGCCTGGCTAATTTTTATATTTTTAGTAAATACGGGGTTTCACCATGTTGGCCAGGCTGGTCTTGAACTCCTGACCTCAGGTGATCCACCTGCCTCGGCCTCCCAAAGTGCTGGGATTACAGGTGTGAGCCACCATGCTGGGCCCTAAAACAATTTTTTAATCTCATCGGCTATCGTTATTGTTAATGTATTTTATGTGTGGCCCAAGATAAGATAATTCTTCGTCTAATGTGGCCCAGGGAAGCTCAAATGTTGGACACCCCTGAAGATTATGTATCTTCTCCACACAGAGTTCTTTCTAATTCCTGGAAACCTCTCTGATAGTTTTTTCTTTTCTTTTCTTTTTTTAATGGAAATCTTTCACTTGTGTGAGAATGTAATTCATTCTTTTATATTTCCTGAAAATTAGATGGCAGTGTATTAGATCTAGATGGAAGTGGGCTGAGTGTTATGTGATATTGCAAGCTGGGCTATAGGTATGTTTCACACAGAGAAGTTAAATAATATTGTATCTGGCTCGCTATAAAATGTTGGAATCATCCTAGAGTGTTTACTTGTAACGCTGGTTATTTTTCTGTGTGTTGAATTGAACAATGATAAAACTGAGTTTCAACAGCAGTACTTACTATAACATACTAAAGCTAATGTTTGTGTTTTTATTAGGGAAGATAGGTATTTGGTTATGCGTCCATAAACAGTGAAGAAATTTGTAGATACAAGTTCCTCGGCCTATGTTATAGATATACTTGCACTGTATTCTAAGTATTACTCTCATTTTCCTTCATGGTTCCTGCTACATTCTTTTGCTTGGTCTGCTACATTTTAGCAGTAAAAATGTCCCTTCAGCCTGGCATGGTGGCTCATGCCTGTAATCCCAGCACTTTGGGAGGCCAAGGCGAGTGGATCACCTGAGGTCAGGAGTTCAAGACTAGCCTGGCCAACGTGGAGAAACCCTGTCTCTACTAAAACTGCGAAAATTAACCGGGTGTGTTGGCGGGCACCTGTAATCCCAGCTACTCGGGAGGCTGATGTAGGAGAATTGCTTGAACCCAGGAGGTGGAGGCTGCAGTGAGCTGAGATCATGCCACTGCACTCCAGCCTGGGTGACAGAGTGAGACTCCATCTCAAAAAAAAAAAAAAATGTCCTTTCATATTGAGGTCTTAGATATGTCATTAAAATCCGTTTGCCTGTCAAAATCACTTGTAATTGTATTTGTCTACTAATTACTAATGTAATTGGTGTATCACATAAAGTTTGCCTTACTAATGTCCCTATTCTTCTTTGGTTGATTGTTTTGTGATATAGAGGGGTCCATATTTATTTCCCAAGGACCAAAGACATATTTTACATAGGCCAAGTGGGAAAAAAAGGGTAACTGATTTTGTAAATGTACAGTTTATGTTTGAATATATGCCCAGTGGCTTAGGGGAGGGGAGATGATGATGAGGGTATCAATAAGGTAGTATGAGTAAGTGACAATTACATGGGGTTCAGATTTAGACAGATTGGGTTCAAATCTAGGCCTTGTCACATACCACCTCTTTGAACGCGGACAAGTTATATAAGCTCTCTTCCCTTCAGTTTTCTCATCTGTAGAATGGGGATCCCAGCCCTACCTCATGTGGTTGTTGTCGAGATGAGATAAGAAAATGTACGTAAGGCTGGGCGTGGTGGCTCATGCCTGTAATCCCAGCACTTTGGGAGGCCAAGGTGGGTGGATCACCTGAGATCAGGAGTTCGAGACCAGCCTGACCAACATGGAGAAACCCCGTTTCTACTAAAAATACAAAATTAGCCTGGTGTGATGGCACATGCCTGTAATCCCAGCTACTAGGGAGGCTGAGGTAGGAGAATCGCTTGAACCTGGGAGGCGGAGGCTGCGGTGAGCCAAGATCGCACCATTGCATTCCAGCCTGGGCAAGAAGAGTGAAACTCCATCTGAAAAAGAAAATGTATGTAAAGCCCTTAGCATAGTGCCTGCCACACAAAACCAGACCTTTTTTCTTTTTTTCTGCCCTAGAGTTATCATGCAAATAAATTGTGCATAAGAAGGTGTACATCCAAATGCAAATTGATCTCAAAGATTTATTTGAGCAAAGCAAACAGCTTTAGAAATTAGCATAGCTGAGGCTAACATAAGTTTGGCATGCCAAAAAACCTGCCCTGGAGTTTCCTGGTGAGCCAGCCACGTGGAATTCAAGCACACAGCTCCTATTTAACTGTAATTCCACATCAGATCAGGAAATAAATATGTGAAGGGACAGAGGCCAAAAATTGAGCCTTGAAAGTCTTAGATGTAGGAACTCTGAGGAATTAGAAGCCAGAGTAACTGAACACCAGTGGTTTTATTGGTTTTGTGCTGTCTTCCATGGAATTCCAAGGCGCTCATCTGTTGAAAATAAAATGTAGGGAAGGACATGTTTAATTTTCTGTCTCTGCTCTCAACTTTGATTCTGTCCTACTCAAGGGTTCTATATGACAAGACAAAGATACAAAAAGATTCTCTACTTTTAAGGAGCTTATTCTCTTAGTTACCAAGCAGGAACTTATAGGAAAGTTGAATTTTGATTTAGTCATACTATCTAGGGCAGGGGTCTGCAAACCTTTTCTGTAAAGGGTCAGATAGTATTTTAGACTTTTTAGACCATACTGTCTCTATCACAACTACAGAGCTCTTCTGTTGTAGCAGAAAGGCAGTCATAGATAATACAGAAAGAAATGGGTGTGGCTGTGTTCCAATAAAGCTTTATTTACAAAGAAGACAGTGGGCCGGGTTTGGCCCGGGGCATAATTTGCTGCTTGTGCTAGGGTAAGATTAGCCAAAGTCTCCTGATAGCAGGAAGGTGACTAGAGTTTCAAAGAGTCAGACTGTGGACTTTGCTGAGGTGCACTATGTAATATTTCAAGAAAGGAAGTACAAGGGCAGGAAAATAGTGAGTTTTCAGGGTGTTTGGTGAGCTCTGTCACAATATTTGTTGAATAAATGAATGAATGACTGATACTCAAATCTTATTGCACATATATAAGCATTTCACTGAGAAAATACTAATGTTTTGTCTGGATTAGTCCCAACCTGTTTGACCTTGACCACAGCTTCCTTGATAGTGAAATGAGGATTCCATCACTCTTAATTATCCGTGGCTAAAGTCAACAAATTATCCAGAACTTCCATCTAGTGAATCATTTTAACTCTTCCATTGCTGAAACTTTTACCAGAGTTGTGATTCAAGGTAATTGAGTTGAGATATGCTGTCAGTTTTCTAGCTGTGTGTAGGTTAATGCGGCATTCCTGTGGGGAAACAAATAAAGGGTACAGTGGCTAGGAGCAAAAGGCCCCTTGATAATCAGCCCGTGAATAATTTAGCGTTGACTGTATCATGCAAGTTCACCTCTCCATATAGGGAAGATGAGGATCACATGTATGCTTTGGATTCCTGTGTTAGTGTTCAAATTACTGTAAACTGGCTATGTGAAAATGCTAATAATGCCTTTTATTTTGTTAAATTTTTTAGACTTTATGAAATTTATTCACATTGATTATTTTATTTAATTTGGGCTTCATATAACTCTGGGAAATAGCATGTTAGATATTGAATTTAAAGAGCTGAAGTTCAAATAGGGTTAAATGGCTTTTTCAAGGTCACATGGCTTCTAAGTACTTGAGCCAAGACTGGTACTGAGGTCTTCTGACTCCTAATCCAAAATTCTTTTTAATGTAAATTGTCTTTTAGCATATTCTTACAAAATTTCCCTAGATTGTATCAGAATAATAATGCCTATTAATATACTACTTCCAGATACCCCAGTGACAGGACATACACTCTCTTCTTGCTAAAAGTTACTTTTTCAAGTCCACATTTTTGGGGATACTCGATGAGTTCTTCCCTAACCCTGAGAATCTGTGGTTCTATAAACGTGGATGGCCCATAGGGGTAAAATTTTACAGTTCTTGCCATCATGAGGCAAGTTGCTTCTCTTTGG